AATAATTATAATAATATAATAATATATAATTTATAACATTTATATAGCGCATGTCCAAGAAAGTAGCTCAATGCGCTTACATTGGAATACCCATTTTCAAAACCTTTCTTACTACTTCTTTTCTTCTCATGCAACAAGAGTTGCTCGCTTAGCAGGTTAGGTTTGAGCTGGGATGGGGGTGGATGGGTGGGAGACGGAGTATACTCATAGCCTTGTGCATGGTCTATGGCCTTTTCTTATTTGAACAAGAGTTATCCTGTCAGTTTGAAGGGGACTACAGATCCAGTGCTCGTAAGACCGTGCGTGGCATTTACCTGACTACGATAGCTAACTAGTGGCGACACAGACTATATTATTTTGCCTGCAATGACTAAATTGATATATAAACTGTGGGATTTACCGGCGATGGCTAAGTAGACTATGGTATTTGCCTGAAATGGCTAAGCCTGAAATGACCACTTAGACTATGGTATTTGCCTGCAATGACTAAATGGTATTTTGCCTGCGATGACTAAGCCTGAGATGACCGATTCGACTATGGTATTTGCCTGCAATGACTATATGGTATTTCCCTGCAATGACTATATGGTATTTCCCTGCAATGAGTAAATGATGTTTTGCCTTCAATGACTAAGCCTGAGATGACCAATTAGACTGTGGTATTTGCCTGCAATAACTAAGTTTTTCCATTTTTCTCTCTCCCCACCACAGTCTCCGTACCAGGCATTGCCCACGCTGTCAGCGGTGCCCGGACCTGGGGCTCCGGCGGCCAGCTACAACCCGTACATAGCCACTTCTCTGTCCACGGGGCTGCCCACGAGTCCCGAACCCAACACAGTCATGTCGCAAGCCCTGCCCCCTACCATGATTCCAGCCACCGCCAAGGCAGTCCGAGCTGATAAGTTTGAGGTAGGGTCTGCTGTCCGGAGAGGAGCACAGTTGTTTTTGGTTTGTTTTTTTGTTCTGTTTTATCACACAGATTAATGTCCTCTGCAACAGTCTAGTTTCTCTCATTTCCTTTATTATGCTGTGGTGTGATTAGACACCAGATTTCATGACATTGAACTAGATGGTGGCTCTAGTTTCTATTGCGCTGGATGGAGAGTGGCTATTTTCTTCTTTGGCAATCTGATTGATATAGCCTTGAGGGTTAAAAAAAAAACAACCTCTCATCAGGTGAAATAAGGTTTAAATTAATTTAACAATAATTGACTAAAGAATAGCATAGGCTTTGATGTCATAAATTCATTTGATGAGTTGTTCCTCTCATTACTCATGAATTGAGATTTCATGACGGAAAAAGTCTCTAAGTGTCTTAGAAGAACAAAGTTTCCCGTCAAGATTTAAAAAAAACAGCAGCTACTCTATTTCAGTGTCATGAGAAACATGTTGTACTGTAATTTGCTTTCAAATATTCAGTGGAAGTATACCTTTGTAAATGTGTGCAATTTGGTGAATAAGTCTGGAATGTATATATATCATATAAATATTGTGCTTAATTCCTTTCTGTTGTCCTTTCTTCTCTGTTAACTATTTGAAATGTTTTCTGTGGCTGGTATATTTTCCTAATAGTAGAAGACTTTGAAGAAGATAATGCAGTGCCATGAATGTTTTAATGAGTAGAAGATAGCATCACAACTGAGAAAACAATTTGTTTCACAACATTCTGAACTCTTTACTTCTTCCAGATAATGTTACAGTAATAATTGTTGGTACATTTGTGTGTCAAAAGCAAAGCTGATTATTAGTTATATTTATTAAACTTTACAAAACTGTAAAATTTAGCGTGGGATGAGTTTTTTTTCATCGAGTGGGGAAATGTTTATGGCTCTGTGTTATTCTCTCTCTCTCTCTCTCTCTCTCTCTCTCT